TATACAGATTTATACCGTTCCAATTCTTTCACAGCTGATACAAGACTCCCCGACATTACATTCTCTTACCCACACTGTTTTTAAGATCTGTAAATGCGACACCACAATGCAGAAAATTATTCCAGAGTAAGTGCATCTTGTTCACTGAATGGTTTGCTGATGTTCAGATTATGTTTTCTTTTTCTCATAATAATGTTATCATTGTCATATCCAAAATGTGTTCCTAAATAATTCACTCTCTCCTGCTCCTGACCACCATCAACTTTTGCAGCTGATCTTTTCTCCCTTAACCACTACTTGTACAAATCACACAAGAAGGCTTTAGAACATACTATCTTTGAAGGCTTTGTGCCAATCAAGAATAATGATCTCAACAATTTTTCAGCCATGCAGTAAATTCATGATAGAACTAAGCACTGGATGTTCATAACACCTTTAAAAGTAAGTCCTTGTCATCACTGAGAAAACTTGGTTTATTAACTGATTTATTCTACTACACAATCTGCTTTTAAAAAAAAAAAAACATTAATTTACAATTTGTCCCACTGGAGTTTGAGAGGCAGAAATGTGTCCCCAGGATTGTAATTTCAAAAAGATTGCTACTTCAAAGGTCATGTATCATCTTGAGGTTTTTTGCATTTTTCTTTATTTCTTCCGCAATTCAAGGAGAATTACAAAGACAACCATCGAGCATGCATTACACTCTTTTCTGTTTAAAGATTAGAGAGACTGTGTAACTGATGAGGGAACACTCAGCAGTCTCTTTAAAGCTCTGAGTAATAACAAGGAAAGTAAAAAGGAAAATACAGTTTTCCTCTGCTCTTTATGCACTTTGCAGTGCACACATACATGGACATGATTTTGTATCTGTGTATTTATTTAATTAATTAATTAATATTTGCAAAGTGGAGCAAATATAAATATCCCAATGATCGGAGGCAGTCAAAATTCACCTAAACTAGCCTGCTGCAAGCACTAGTTCCCCCAGCATGACATGCAAATAATTGTATATCTAACTGCAACAGGTTGTAGGTAGGAATAACACCTGCTTTCAATATCCCACAATTACCTTATATACAACTTTGTCACATTCAGATAATGCAGGACTACAGAAATGTATGACTAATGGGGGATTTCATATTATTGCAAGAGAACAGAATCCTTGTACCACCCTTGGGATGACAATAGGAGTGGTCATCATTTAAAAACTTTGAATGTAACAAGATGGGTAAATATACAAAAAACATGCTAGAGGCATTAATAAAATGATAGCCAGATGTCACAGTAGAAAATAATTACTCAGAATTATTACATAGAGCAAATTAACAAACATAGTGTCAGATATTCCCTAGGTATAGCTTTTCAGTTTGTTTTTGTTTTTCTTTTTTTTTTTCTTAATGTTTCCACCAGCTACAAAACCCACAAAGACCTATTCAGGCTAATCAAACCAGAGCAAACAGTCCAAGTCAAACTCCAGTTGCACAAAGTACCTAAGCTCAATAATCTCCACAGACAAGATTTACCATGGATGAAAAGTGTCACTTTCCCTCCCTAGTGGTGCCAGATTTCAGACTTTGAAAAATGCAGCTTTGGCCAGATAATTTTTGGCTGTCACTAATTTAAAGCAACTCACTGGTTTTAAAAAGGAAAACAAGAAAAAAAAAAACCAAACTGAAAACAAACAAAACCACACACCCATATACATATATTTATGTATTTTTATATATATAATTTTCACATTAATTTGTTGGCATTTTATTTTCATATTTCTACTTAACTCACCCTCAAAACACCTGTTCTTCAATACTCAGCAGTATTTTGTATCACATAAGGTCAAAAATAAGATTACATTAGATGCAAAAAGGACTTCCAAAAAAAGTCTTCATGGAGAAGGTGACAGAGGGCACAAGTTAGAGTAAAAAAAGTCTGAAAAAACCCTTATCATCCATTTCTAAGCAGGAGAGAACTTCAATCTGAATCTGAATTTAAATTCCTGAGAATGAAAAGTGCAAAACCAGTCACTGAAGTGAGAGATGACACTGGCTGAGGGGGTGAGGGTATTATATTTTTGCTTAAGACACTGTTCTGATTATGACATACATGCAAGAGGACTTCTGCCTTCAAAAGACTATTGAGAAACTTGATTAAAACAATTCCACATGCCTTCAATATGTTTTAGAGAGATAAAATCTCGCTCTTCCTACTCACTCAGATGAAGCAATTGGGCTGCTTTGCCATCCAAAAATCATCACTAAAGTGTTGGCCCATCTGTTACCAATATAAGCAACCCTCCCTTCAGACTTGTTGCAACAGAATTTCAAATCCAATCCTTGTCTCAAAAAGCAGCAGTTCACGACCTTTATCTCTGCCTCTCCTTGTGCTCTGTAGAGCTGAGCATCCAGCAGCACCTTTCTTTACCTCTGTAGGAACACTCAGAGGTTACCTGACCTTTACAGGTTCATTCAACGTCTCAAGCACTGAAGCAGCTTTTTTGCTGCCCTACCTCCATCAAACCACAGGTGTGAGGAACGCCAGCACCAGCCTGCGTCAGCTAATTACCCAATAATTAGTTTGTCATAAATGTGACAAGACACATAGCCCAAGACCTTTACAGGGAAATCTAGAGCCAACTTCAATCTGAACCAATTCTGAGAATATCAGGAAGTCACCTCAAGTTACCAGCTAATTAAGGGGGTAACTTCGTCCACAGTCAGCCTGAGAGACGTCTGAGCCCTAATAGAGACTTCAAAGATTCAGAGTTAATTGTTTCCAGTATCATGCCGCTACATTTAGCAGAGCTTGTGTGACAGGTCACAAACAGGTGTTTTCAAAAAAAAGAAATTGTTGCTGACCTACCTGGATCTTAAATAGAGCAATTACATCAATGCTGAATCACTTTGAAAAATCCAGCTGATATGTCACCAAGCCTCAGCTCCTTCCTTAAAAACATCACCGGTAATAGTAATACTGAATGTCTCTCCTCTGTTATTTTTGATGAATAGCTGGCAGGTCACTCAAACAAACATCTCTTCCCCTGTCCTTTTATGCTGCCTTTCACCATCACATCACAGGCAAGAGGATGGGGTATTGCTGCAATGTGAACAACATGAGCAGGTTTTAATAGAACGTAAAAAGAAGCCTTTCCTTCCCCAGACAGGAAGGCAAATGAGTCCATTTTGGAGAGAACTCACCAGCCACCAAGGTAAGGCCACCGAGCTTGGGTCTCCCAGGGAAAGAGTTAGTCTCATGCAGCGTTAAATTCTTGGAGCCAAGTCCCAAAACAAACATCAGCATTTGTCTGACTTCCCTCAAGTCAAAATATTGAGATGCTAAGCTAGACCGTTTGGGCAGCCTAAGATTTTTCAGTGGCTTGCTCAACAGGCCCAGATTTCTTAAAACAGACTCCCTTTCCTCAGCTCCTTTTAAGCCATTCTAATTTTCTGGATCTGCTGCCAAAAACACACATCATTGCCACACCTTGGGTGAGCAAAGCTGAAGGCTCAGCACCAAGTGTTGCAATCACCAAAAACCAGTCAGTGCAATAAATGAGGCACAAATTGTACTGTCTCTGTTACATCTTCCTGGAGCTCTGATAATAAATCTTGAAAATCTTTAAAAGGTTCTCTGCAAAAGGAATTAATCACATTTTTAAAACCCCATTTCATTATTGTTTAAAATAAACTTATGAACATAACTGAGTTGTAAGAGTGACATCTTCCTTTTCTTCTTTGCTTACAGAAAATTATTGCAGTCTTACTGGTGACACATAACATCAAATTATCCTACCCAAGAGCAAGAAAAGAAGGTGGAAAACTGGCTCTCTTCTTCAGAGGGCAGAGTTGGAAAAGAAAGATTTATCAGTAACTGAGAAAAAAGAAAAGTTGTTGGACTTGACCACTTTAGATTCATGAAAATGAGATGCAAAGGTTACTGCTAACAGTTTCCACTTATGAAAGGAGACTTTATTGGTTTAATTTGTATTGCAACAAAGCTTGATAGACGCCTGCTAGTGATATCTCCTGTTAATTGAACTAATGCACAGAAAAGGACTGTCTTAGAGATAACAATGTTACCTCTTGTTTAAGAAGCAGAGACTTGTAAGTCTGGATGACTGAGCCCATTACAGTCTGACCGTGACATATGAGAAGGAAACAAGATGTCACAATCCTAGAGTAATGTGGACATACTGCCAATATACAGATGGATGCACTTGCTTTTTTTATATACTCGTACCAGTGTATTGAATGAGATGACCGCAAAGGGGAACAGTAAAGGCTGATGAAAATATAGGCAAGCCAAGTGCTATACTCTGTGTTACTAAATAAATACCTCAGCATTTGCAAGTATCAGTATTTGTACCTAGTAAACTTCATATTATCATTCGAGTCATCTGCACTCTTAAAAGTAGTTTCCTTCCATTTTTCATCTTCCACGGTTGAAGAGGTAGCTTTTCCATCCTCAGAGGTTATTAGCAAAACTCATTGTTTCCTCAATAGTTGATTTCTTGGTATCAGAAGCAAGAATAGACGAATGACTTTTCTCCCAGATCAACTCACTACCTGAGCTGAGTCCATGGAACTTAATAAAAAACCCATAAATTGATGATTGTAACTATAAAACTCTTCTTCTTAATAAGATTATGCATGGGTACTCAGTATTTGAACAGTAGCTATTACAGTGTATGTATATTGTTACATGCAACAGTAAAGATCTAAGAATGATCAGTTAAATACATTTTCTTAAGCAACCATTTTTCTAAGACAAGTATGAAAATCTCATGAAATTTCCCATCTGTGCTTTGGATAGCAGTGGGAATAAAACTGGAGCAGCAGCTACACATTGACTGCCACACTGTTGCAGAAGTCAAAGGAGTTCATATCATAAATTTTGTTGCCATCATGAACATTTGTGAGCTGGCAGCAGATGGATATTCATTAGTCCAGTACCAAAACATTTGCATATCTTCTTGTTGAATGTGGTGACATTCAACAAAATATACTTTAAGAGAATTTGCATGAATGAGGTGATGAATAGTTTTTAAATCGCTTCTTTCGTTCCACTGCAGTTTGCAAAGCCTGAAGAATTAAGTGTTTATTATTCAGGATGTTGTAGCAGCACAGGTTAAGCAGCTTATCGAAATTCTCTTCGCTATATGTAAGCAGACCAGTGCCATAGGGAGCAGTACAATTGGACACGTCTACTCTTCCCTGCTCCATCTCTGTGGGACTGCGCTCCACATCTGAAATAGGAACATAGCACAGCAGTGTTATTGAGGTGGAAAACTGCTACCAAGCAATACAAAATGCACAGTAATAGACACACAAAACTGAATTATATCTCTTGAAAATGGTTCAAGGTTTAATTACTGTATAGGTACTATGCCCAGTGGTTAAGGGCGCGGCGCTATCACCGCGGAGACCCGGGTTCGATTCCCGGTCAGGGCCACTCCCGGGCAGGTGGGGCTCGTTAGCCCTTAAAGGCAACCCATCTACATCCTGAGGACCTCGCTGCCACCGTCCAAGCTCGCTTGGCCCCGGCAAGATGAACCTTAGGATTAAAGGGTGGGCTCAGTTCCATGCACACTGTGTCTCACCTAAAAAATCCAATGCGCAGGCTGGAAGGTGTAGAAGACCTTCCCCGGATCTTCGCTCGCAAAGACTGGCCATTATTTACTATGTCTGCTGCACTAATAAAATACACTGGCTTGCTGTTTAACTACAGTTACAGCTGATCCAAAAGTGACTGACTGAAGAACTTTTCCATGTAAAATGCTTTCCTCTCTAAATTAAAGTCTTGCAACAGAATATTTCTAAGATTTGGAATTTTGTATGTTTAACTTTCCAATTGAGTACTGAGATGACATCTCTTATCTACTGGTAGAAAATTATTCCAGGAAGCTCCTGGATTGGAAATCCTCCTTCTCAGGTGGCTGAGATTTTAAGCACATGCAGCAGGATACATAAGATGATGAACTGCATGAGGTCTTTTCTAATAAGCTGATACATGGATTTTTGTTCATTTTTTGAGAAAAGTTTCCTAGATCATACAAAATTAGCAACAAAAAATTGGAGTTGATCCATGCAAAAGTATTTGTATATTGAAGCTAATTTGCCAAGTAGGTTTTTTTCCTGGGGAAACAAACAAATTTCTTCTATTGCTGAACCAAATAAAAAAAAACTTACAATTTTTCAAAAATTACAAGTATCAAAGCAGCTTCCTACCCTGGCAAAGCGTTTGCTTCATCATAAGTTTTCAGCACTTTCTATTCTCAACTCTTTTTCATGTAAAAAAAATTGTTAGGAGAAATTCTACCTTTGTTAACCAAGTAAATGTCATATTTCTTTACAAGACTGTCAGGTGAGAGTGTTAGCTACCAATGAATATAACTTAGTAGCTGCCTCCTCTCCTTCAATATCAAAGGAACATGAACTGTTTCAGCTGCCAGATAAGGGGGTTTCCCTCAAGGTGCAGCTATTCATGCTTTTAATTTTGAACCTCTTCAGTCCAACCCCTGAGTAGTTGGCCAACACTAAATGCATCACAACAGGACTGGGAACATACTAACTTAGCCAACTCAGAAGCTTGCAAGTGTCCTGTTTTGGGAGAGGAACAAATTCAATTAATAAACCAGATGCGGCAACCTCAAAAAAACTATTAATGCTGTTTACTTACTTGGTGCCTTGTATTTTTTGAAAGTATCACACACCAGTGGAAAAAAGGCCAAAATTGGTGCCTCTAAGCTATCCTCAAATACATAGCATTCCTTCAGATGTTCGCGGTCTTCCTGGCTCAGCTCTGTGCTGGGGAATGGGATCCCATGCTCCAAACAGTACTCTGAGAATAGGTCCAGTGGCTGGTTCAACAGAGAGGAGAGTTGCAACACAAAGAGAGGTTGAAATAAGACTACCAAGCCCCATAACTGTTATTTTGCTGCACCAGACAATCTGGGATTGATTTATAGGTTTATAAATAATACTAACTATGTACTGGAACAAGCATATCATCTTGATTGTAATATATCCTTGGTAATAGAAATTTGGTTGATTTGCTAACCCTTTAAATTTTTTAAACCAGGTTACTGTTTTCTGAAATTTATATGATGTTCAGAGCATTTTTGTGATTTAGCAGGTGCAGTAAAGGATTTGGGTGGGGAAATTTTGACTAAACATGGCATCTCTGATGACAGGTTCCTAAATATTTGCATTCAGTACATCTAACAATAAATGTCTTCACGTCCTCTTACAAATAAATTAAATTAATTTCAATCAGATACACCTCTCAAGTTTCTTCAAGCAGCAAAGCAAAAGCCTGACTGAAACTTATGCCAACACCAAGAGTCACACAGAAAAGAAAAATTCCAAATTCGCAATCAAAAATTTCAAAATTATGTATTAACTAATTACACTGTTATTTAACTAACTATTGAGGAACTGGGTACCAGAATGACAGTCTGCACAGACACATACAATAGGACATCTGTGAACTTCTGTGTGTCTGTGTTCATGTGCATGTCCCAGAAAGATATTGAAAACAGCCCTGATAAAGACAAAGACATTACGGTCACAGAATTGAAGAGCATTGCTAATACGATTATTTCACTTAATTAAAACCAGACCATTTCCTTAGCGAGGGGGAGGGAAGAGTCATACAGAAAAAGAATCACTGCTTCAAAACATCACCAGAGTCTGTGATCCTCCACTGTAATTTAAATGCAGAATGACGTCCACTTTTCTCTCTGGCCTCAGAATGGGTGGGCAGCTGGTGTTGATGAAGAAAGCTGTATCTATCAGTTTGAGGTAGTCACCCATTTCATTTAGCTGGTTGGGAGAAGAATCCAGCACTGTATCTGAAAGTCAAAAACTTGTATTATTAATTACTGCAGGACCAGGTCCATTTCTTTTCCAAATTAGCATAACAAAGGGAGAAAGAAAAGACAGTTCATATGTATTAGTCTTTGACACAAAGCCCACAATTAAATATTTGTCTTTGACACAATTTTAGCATCTATAGCTCAACTGTGAGATCAGTAAGAGGAAGCAGTTTTGAGATTTGGATTCATCCAAAAAGTGATACATTATGCTGTTTTATCAACTGATGTAAATTTGTGGTTATTCCATTACTTCCATGGAAGCTGCAAGTCATTCTTTCATGGTTTTTCCTAGGAAGAATTCAAGGAAGCCTACTGTGGTTTCTCCAAGACAGAAACAAGACCAGCAGTAAATCATCTGGGGCTCAGCAAAACTAGTTCCACAAACATATTAATCAAATAATATTAATCAAAATTTGCCTTCATGATAAAACTTATCAAGTATTTGTCCTCAGCAAGTATCAGCTCTCAAAACACCTTCAAAGATGCATCTAAAACAATTTACTAATACCTTTCCATATGCAAAAGCTCTCATTCTCTAAATATTTTTTGTGTAGCTGCAAACCCTTGAGGAAATTATGGTAAGTTGAAACAACTGGTCGTCCAGTCATCATTTCTCGAAGAGTATTAGAACAGTAACCTTTGGGAATTGATAAACAAGTTGTTTGTTCATGAGGCTTCTTGGGCAGAGCAGGGTGTTCCTCTGGAGGAAAAAGAAGAAGAAGAGGGTATATGTCTGCATTTGTTTAGAGTGTTTCTCTGATATTAAAAACAACAAAGAAAGGGGTGCTGGGCAGCCAAACCACTGTGGCCCCCAGCCCCATCTGTGACTGAGTGCACGCACCAACATGCAGAGTGTTCTGGTCAGAGGCACATTTCAGTGTCACATCATCACCTTGTTGTTCCCTGTCTGGCCTCTCCCTCCCTAAAGGGCTTGTGGTAACCCTCTTGGGGCTAACAACACTCCCCAGGGATGTTGCACAGTGAGCAGCACAATGTTTTTTTCCTGTTTTCCAGCACAACTGTTTCTCTCCTGTTTTTCCTTCATTCCCAAGGGCTTGGTGTCTCCTAACCCACAAATAGGACACAAGACAAACTCTTGACCAAATGTCAGGTTTCATGTTTCAGAGAAGTGTAAAGACAATGAAGATACAAGAGAAAAGTAATCTAAATAACTAACCAATGTCATGCTCAGTGTCTCGGGTCCATCTGTGCCAGATGTCCTCTGAATGGCCCGAGAGGTAGACAGCATCCATAAAATTCTGGGAAAATATATTACTCCACGTGCCTTGAAAATATTAAAAAAAAAAAAAAAAAACCAACCAAACAAACAAACAAAAAAACCCCACACACCTTAATACTAGATTGAATTTTTAGAGCACAGCTATGGAGCTATGGCAATCTATTTGGATTCAGTCTTTGGTTTAGTTATTAAATATTATGAATTCTCATATCAATATCAAATGCCATGCCATTTCCCATATTATCTGGCTTACGACAAGGTCATTTTAGAAACTTGGTGGTGTATAATAGTCAGGTTGTGATTTTAAATACTTCAGATGATTAGTTCTTTTGTGTGTGTGTGTGTGTGTGCACATATGAGTGCATACATATGTTCTATTTTGGTCTAACCTAAGATGTTTAGCAAATTAATCACATTTGCCTCAAGAATTTGTTTCCTCTTTTGCCACTTTTGGCTGGTTCATTTGAGATTGCAATCACATCAGATACGTTATCTGGTGTACCAGTGCTGCTACTTGCAGATCACCTCTGTGTTGCCAACTATAAAGGTGATGTTTTTCTGAGAGGGCAAATTACCTTCCAAGAAGCAGATGTGCGACTCTGGGATCTTCTTCATCCGGTGACCCATGAAGAACTCACTACCAAAATCTTCTGAACGAACAAAGGCCCCATATTTCAGAAGACCCACCTCGTAAGGTGTGAACTCCACCCACTCTGCAAATAAGGTATCAAAACAGATTTATTACAGCCACCTGAACACATGTAATAAGCAGCTTAAAGAATCAAAATCTGGAAGGTCAAGGCCTATAGCCTCACCATGGAGGTGACAGTTCAAACCATCACATTTTGAAACAAACAGGTGACCTTTTACATGCTCATGTTAGATACATGAATGCAAAAGCTAAATTCATCTCCTCCACTAACACTGTGAAAATCCATTCAGGTTGGGGTTCAGGTCCATTTATGCACTAGGAAGCAAAGACTTGGGCTGACTGCTAAGGCCCTGTGCAAGATGTGGCATTTTTAGTTCCTCTGACTCAGCAATGACACCAGCTACCATTTGTTCTTGAGACTCCCACCATCACTGCCTGTGAGGCTAAAAAAGTTTGACCAAACCCCCTCCTCTCAAAAAAACCTTGGCTGAACACACTAGGACTGCAGATGTGCCTAGAAGCAGATGATTTGGTTCAGTTGCAGGGCTTCCTGCCTCACCTGGGCCAGAAAACACTGTGGGAATACTGATCAGGATCACTGATCGGGGCACGGAGTGCTGCCGCTCCTCAGATCCTCTCTGGTTGTTATGAGCTGCCTCCTACTCTCATCCCTCTCCACATCTTCCCTTCTCCCTTCCTTACCCTCTTCCTCCCTCTTCACAGCTCTCTTGAACTACTACTGCCTGGGCAGAAGAACCAGTAGCTAAAAAGGGGTTATGAGGAATAAGTGGGGACAAGAGAGAAAAAGAGCAGCAGTGGTGGCTCTCAAGGCTGCCAGCAAAAGGCATCTCCATGTCTCACAGAACAGTGTCCACAGCACAGGTGTCTTCCTTCCACTGTATTAGGATGCATGTTTTTCATGCAAGTAAGGAACCACATATGAAGACAGGAGGAAAAGAAATTATTTCAAAGATGTATTGGTTTGGACTTAACAGTAAAAGCTTTTGGCACCTAACAAACTTAAAGGGAAACTATAGAAGGGTGTATGATAATCTTTACCTTTAAAATCCAAAGTGCTAAAGTTATCCTTGACATTGAGGGACAGGTATACAGGCAGTGGATTCTGCCCCATATTTACTGCTAGTTGCTGATCTGAGAGTTTTTGAGTACTTTCCTGTTTACAAAGAACAGAAGTCATTGTAAAATGTGAACATGATGCATGGATCTAATACAGTCAATAAAATATCTGCTAAACCTCAGCAGATTTTTTTCTGTCTGCTTCAGTTGTTTGGCCACACAAATATGTTCATATGTTATCTGCCATGAGCCTTCACCAAAGCATTATCATTGATGCTTATGGGAATTTTGTCATGTGCTGGGACAGGGTAAAAGTGTGAGAAACTTGTCTGTTCAGTCACTAGGATATGACTTGCTTTAAGCAAAAAAAAATATTTAGCTGTCTTGAAGGTCCTGCAGAGAAAAGTCAGCCAGGAACAATTTCCTTCATTACTGTTTTGTTTGCTCGTATGGCTTTACATTGCTGTTCCTGAACTTCATTTTTCAGAGCCATCTCTCCTCTCTGTGTTACTAGAACGATCATTTGACCCAAAAATAAAGATGAAAAATCAGTTTCCTTAACATTTTTGATTTTTTACATGCTCAGACACCTACCCTAGATGCTTACATTTTAGTATTACTGTGCTATTATTCTTCAGAAAAGCCAAAGAACGAGCCCCTCAGAAGTCTTGAGAACCTTTCCTGTAAGTGAATCCGGAACCTAAGATATGGGAAGTTAGAAATCTTCAGGAATACATGAGATAGATAGATAGATAGATAGATAGATAGATAGATAGATAGATAGATAGATAGATAGATAATATAAAATACCTGATGATGTAGCATACAATTAATGAAGAGTCCCCATAAATCTGTAAAGGACAGCTTATGGCCCTCTTGCTTTCTCTCACAAAGCTCATTTTCATAGTATTTCATATGATCCAGTGAGAAACAGTGCAGCTTGCTCTTGATCACACATTTCCTGATATCATTAATTGGCCCTCTGAGATCCTTCTGTGACCAGTTTGCATCTTCATATAACTTAGACATGGTCCTGGGTAAAAGAAAGATACTGTGGGTCAGCTTCTGGCTGAGGCCAGTTCCCTCAGCTGCGTCAGACGCTGGAGTTTGGCAGTGAATATTGTCCTGGCCAAGTGTGAGAGCCCCCTCCTTGGGCATGCAGCAGGTGGGTCACCTCAGATTCTTGGCATACATAGGGCCAGGCTTGAGCTGTCAGTTCCCTGAGCTCAGGTAGATTCCAGTCATCCCCTCTCATCTCCACACCACTTGTTCTAGTTCTGTCTCATGTATCTTTTTAGAACAGCCCTCCAGAGGCAAATGTTTTCAAATCCCTCAACCCCTCCTAGTTGTGCAAGGCAGTCAGCACTGAGCAGTCCAGTGATTCACCACATTCAGTATTTCTCAGGGCCTTTTTTTTTAAAGGTTACTTTTCAGAGATGTGTAGGAATTTACAGGTATTACCAGAGGATTTCTGAAGTGTAACATGCAAATAGATAACACAGTTACAGGTAAACCATCCTGGCTTGTGCTCTTTTAGTTTCTGTAAACACTTCAGTGCAATTACAGAAATACTGTGGTTCTCATTTAATTTGTTTCTTGTAGCTAGAAGAAATAAGGGCTACAGCAGTCCCATGATATGAATGTCAAAAAGAAACCAAGCATCATGCTGGGTAAATTCATCAGTAACGCAAAATGTTTCACCAGGTTATCACTCTGCTAACACAAAGGGCATACACAAGCCCAACCTTCCTTACCAGGTTGTGGCAGATAAACCACTGATGTAGGAGACACAGTCCAAAACACCTAACTCCTGGAGAGCCAGAAGACTGCCAAACATAGCTGTCATGGATCTCACTCCCCCTGCTGCGGTCACGACTGCCACCACTGGCACCTGCTCAACACACAAAGAGTTGATCATCACCAGATGAAACACAGAAGTAATGGCCATGAAGAAAAAGTAACAGCAACACCTGATTCAGGTAGATTTTAATTCAATTGCCCCTCTTCATGGCAGTGCCTAGGTGTGTATTTGAGTTGTGTAAACTTTAGTGGGACTTAGGGTATGCTGAAAGCATTTTCCTGATCAGTGATGCTTTTGTGAGTCAGAAGCTCTAAGTATGGTTCTTGTAAGGCATAATATATTTTCAGATTTTCTCAATGTTTTTTATTTTTTCTCACCTCTTTGCATCAAAACACATTTTAAAACCCTGAGTATAACTGAGGGCAGAGGAGCAGAGCAAAAGCAGCCTGCATAGTTTTTTCTTCCTCTGAGTGTATATACAACATTGCTATTCTCCAGGCAGATGGTGACAAGCTTTATAGAAGGATGCAGCAATCCTGTTAGCCACCCTCCCTTTTCCCCATAGGTAGCACTTAACCAAAACTGAGACAACACTTATTCAGTTTTAAAATCATATAATGCCACTACCTTTAGTCTTGTGTTCATTTTATTTTACCATCCACCTGGGGGTTCTGGTTTGTTTTTTTTTTTAATTAATATGACTCAATAGCTCTTTATTCTCATGTAATAATAACAAGCTCTATTCTACTTCTTATTTAAGTTCATGAGCACTTCAACTTGGTTGACAGATACTGTCCTGCACACTGAATCAAAGCTCAGATGTGCTGGGACCTGAACAGAGCAGTGGAGGAAATACCACACAGGCACATTCTCTCAGACTCCTGATCAAGCACCACAGTCCCATAGCAGATTACTGTCCTCCAGTAACACAGCAACTACCTCTGAGTTCAGGGATCCCCAGGAGAGGAGGAAGCAAGAGGTAACACATTGAAAAACACACAAGACAGATGCTACCATAACATCTACAGTGTGCTACAGGAGAGCTGCAGCCTTCCTCTTTGTATAGCAGCAAAGTGCCAAACAGGAGAAATGGTCTAGTCTAAGCAATCAAATTTTCCCAAGCTTAGTTATACATAGCTTTATGTCAAGAAATACGGTCTTTGGGTGCCCCTGAGTGAGAATGGAAGTCAGCAGAGAATAAAGGAGCTATAACCGGCCTCCTGACAGTTCCTCTTTCATGCTCTGTGTCAGAAGCTCTTGGATATGGTCTTAAGTGCAAATGACAATCTGGCCTATACAATGTAGTCTAGAATATGTGGAAGAGCTATATGAGTAGTCATGCAAGTACATCATATCCAGTTCTTTCAAAGTGGATCATAATACTTCAAGTTCCCAAGATGCTGGGAATATACCTCATCCTCCTGCAGGTCTTCATCTAGATGAAGAACATTTTTCAGAGCAGCAGCAACCACTTTCTTCCTTTTACAGATGAAATCCTGCTCCTCTACGCATAGATCAAACCCCAACCGCAAATCTAAATTTTTGCAACTAGAGCATAAGAGAAGGACAAGACATTACCTGCAGGCCTTTTCTAAAGCAATAACAATAAACCAGTTTAAAGAAAGGCTCCTTCCCTGTACATGAAGGTTTCTCTAACTCAAAGGAAGGAAAGTATACAGATATCATAGACACTATTTCTGCCTTCTCTTGGAGATTTTAGGCCAAAATTATGTCCTGGACTGTTTCACACAATCATAAGGAAATTAATTAAATAAAATTATCTGCTTATTAAAAACAAAGAATTTAACTGAGTTCAAGCTGTTTCACATTGAGCTCTGATATCTGGACACCTCTTCACATTCTCTTGCTATGTATATGTTTCCTGAAGCACACAGAGAGCCTAAGCAGTTATTTAAACCTAACACACTTTAGTCAAAAGGACCCTAATACCGAGTTAGGCTTATCTCTACAGAAAACTTGTACTGCAACTACTTCAGTCAGATGTCTTTTAAGTGTGTGCCTTAATATCTGTACATTATTATAAATATCATGTGCATATTCATTAATTCTATAATTTATATTTTCACAGGGCTACTGTTTCAGGGTTTTTTTCAGCCAAAAGGTTATTTTGTCTCTTCTCTGAATTATTATTCAGTAGAAATCTCTTGTTTGTCATCCATCTGCAACTAAGGCTTGCAACGTAGCTAGGTCACCAGTAGAGGGTAATGTTGCCTTTCAGAAAATGTCTGCAAGTCAGTCCATAAATTAATTAGTGTCTATGTGTTTCACTGAAAAATGACCTGCCAAGGACTGGAAAATGCATAACAGTGTTAGAAACGTGTTCGAAACGTGTTACACATGAAGCTGTATGTATTATAGGTAAAGGTTACAAGACACAGGGATTCTTATGTATCAAAACTACAAAGCCTCAACATTAGGAAAAACATTGTAACCGGTTATACCCTATGAATACCTACCACCTGCTCTATTCTAAGCCCTTACCAACCAATTCAAAAGCTTGGGTCATCTTATTAACCCTTCCCCCATCTTTAACCAATTACTATCTTTATTCCTAGTTTTGAAATGTGCTACTTGAAGACCAGGAATCTCATAAAATATTCTAACTTGGAAGGGACCTACAAGGATCACTGAGTCTAACTCTTAAGTGAACAGCCCACTAAGGAATTGAACCTACCTGTTGTTTCCTTTCATCTAAAGCTGATATTATGAAAGGATAGTAGATGGCCAAAGCAATCATTCAAAAGAAATAAAAGCTTTACCTATTTTCCTCATTCACAGACACCTCATAAGATTCCCCCTGAAAATCAAGAATGAAAACACCATAAATATTAAATAGAACTGAAATTTTGGAAAAGCAAGTTTTACAGTATTAGTAATTATTCAAATATATGGTTTAATGATAAATCTTTGATCTCTTCTTAGCTCTTCAGCACACAATCATCACTAGGATCCTGCTTTTAAAATACTTTTAAAGCAATCAGGAATTCTGACTATCCTATTTTTTTCTCCAAATAACAGTTGTATTTCCAAGTGTATGCAGAGCTGAGCATAAATATAATTCAGCTAGTATATTTTTAATAAGAAAATTAATACCCAACCAGATTTTACACCTTTAGTTTACACTTGTTGAAAGAATTCCAAATGCTGTCAAAGGATACTCACTCTCTTGATTGTCACTTTCTTTCCCAAGTCGAGGGAATGGAGAGGCACAGCCATTTCCCTTTTAGATGAGCCATGCTGAAATAAATAGGAGGGGGGAAAATGTTATAAGGATAAAATTATTTATGAACTATAGGTACAAAAATACCAGAGAAGGGTTAACTCACAATGCTTCTCCCAAAAGTTATTTTAAGTGTTATCACCATCCACAAGCAAAACATACACAACAGAAAACATGTTCCTTTGGCAGTGTCATGAGCAGTCGGGGTTGACTATGCTTGATATAGTGGAACCTCGTGGTTTCACCGCTTCCCCATCTGGAGTGAGAACCTATGGAAACGTCCTGGGTTTCTTCATAGGATCCTTTCATTGTGAACGTGAAATCTCTCCCTAAGAAAAAGAAGGTAAACCACAGAGAGATGTTAACTAGCCCTGAAAAATAACAAATAAAAATGCCCCAAGTAAAGTTTCGATCTTGGACTGCAATGGTTTTCCTCCCCCCAACCAGTGTGTGCACAAGGGCCAGTGCAGCACTGCACCACATAGTGCATAGGCAGCTTCTCCCGTATGCATCCCCTGCCCTTACTCTCCCCTCCTGGAGCCTCACTACTTTTTCAGCAATTCTCAGCCTTGATTAATGGCTCTTGGGCAGTTAAGCTCCCCCGAGCTAATCAGAAACACTGTCTGCTCCCAAGAACTTCTGTCACTTAACAAACTGCTGTTATCTAATAAGCAGCCCTGGAACCTTAACTTTGTCTGAATCACAGCCCAGGTGGAAGAATATTATTGTTACTGGACTTTTCAAGGAATACTCTGCTAACTACTGGCAGAGATGGTGGCCAGGATGGAAACTGAATGATGGCTAAAGCCAGTCATCTTGAGACCTTATAAACAGCAGTCCTAAGTGAGGCCTTTTGAACTCACCTGGGACTGCAAAGGGTTGCACCAGCACTCCCAACTAAGTGGGATGCCTTTTCCAGCTCTCAAGTTAGTGATACCCAGAGGACCGATACCAAAAGCTGCCGGCAGGGTCTGGGCTGATATGTCCTCCAGGCTCAATCTTTCACCCACTGAGAGATGCAAAGGCATCTGACTGTAAGTATTTCACTGACCTCCAGGAGAATATTTAACATGTACCTTTGTCCATACTTATCTGTGCTCATGCATGCATGAATTGATTTAAATACTCCACAGCAGGTGTAGTATGAATGTTACCATCTTACACTCATAATTAAATTACTTCAGTGCTTTCAGCAAATCCTATTGAATCATTTTGTAAATGTTAAATTAGACAATTATTAAGTGCCACTAAATCCTTTAGGGATAAGCCGTGATCAAACCTGAGACTAAATTTGGCAATGAGGTCCACTCTGAACCTCGTGACTCAATGGAAGGGTCTCCCTCACTCCTTGGCACTCTTACCCTTTTCCATCTTTAGCCTTTTGCATCCCCAGTCTCCATGTAAATAATTTTAGACTGATTCTAACTTGATTTTCCTTTGTATGTTTCATATATGTAGTAAGTAACGGAGTGAACCTTGCAATCAAATTTTCTTGCACTTTTGCAAATTTATATTAAACATGCTTTAGCTGATACCTTTGCCAGTGATTCTTTAAGCAATCTAAACCATTCATTTTTGACACCCTGCCAAGTGATGGAGAGCAAGTGTTAAACCAGTGGACACCACTAGCAGCATTCACACGGTCTGAGTTTCCACTACAGTCTTTGTCTTCCTGAGAGTTGTGTCTCTCTTCTTTTGCTTTACATTCTCACCACAATATTTCAGTTTCATCACATTGCAGTGATGTTTCCAAGTCTCCCAGCCTTGGGAGAACCTTCACAGTTTCCCTTAAGCTACACAGTCGTGCCATCTTCAGATTCTCACTATTAGCAACCAGGTAATTCAGAAAACACCTCAATCCCCAAGCATCTTTGATGCAAACAGAGACTAAAACAGATCAAGTATTTATCTAGATTCAGCTGCATTTCCCTTAGCATAAAAAGCAGTGACAAACCATTTAAATCAGTAATCTCACCCATGTAAGACTGCTTCATTTTTGTTTCATTCACATGTACTTCCAAACAGGAAACTTCGCGAGACTGGAAAAGATAAGCAATGAAATTACTGGTCATAGAAACAGTTCAGGATTCTCACTGAAGACCTAGGGATCCTATAGAAACACAACACTCAGCCATAATAGTCTGTGAACATAAAGAAATTGTAGAAGCTGATTATCTTGTACAAATATTGCAAGCAATACTGTTGTCAAGGGAGTCAAGATAATCAGGGATCTGTCCCATTACGTTTAAATACCATTCAATTCCCAACAATTAACACAAGAAAGTTTTCTCCCTAGCTAGGCCATGCTTTAGATTTTGTGTACAGAAGGGTGAGCTGAAGGATACCTACAGCTCTGCAGAACAACTGAACTGATGGGCCTGTACTTTATAACTTTGGGATGAAGGTGAAACTTCCTAAGATGCTGCTGCATAAGAGGAAGTAGCAGCAAAGGAGCACCGCACAGTACTTGGACATGGTGTGATTAAAACCTCTGGCTCCAGGGTAGACATTCAGTAATCAACCTTGCAGTCACAATGGTTCACCTCCTTCCCAACTTTCCTTGTTTACTGCCATTTCAACAGTGAGCACCTCACTGGCATTGTGGCAGAGTGCTGATCCAAGTCTCTCCCAACACAGAACGCCCTATGGTCCCAAACAAATTCAAAACTTCACAACCACACCTGTGTCTCATCTGAAAAAGAAAAAAGGCTATGCCTAAAGGCATAGCTCTTCCAATCACATCCTTCAGTTCTGCCCTACCATAAGAACATTATCATAAGAAAATAATTACCACTAGTACGCCATTAGTAATGATCTTCTCAGATACACCTGGGCTGAAAAGCAAAACCAAAAAGTTTTATTTAAAAGTGGATATATAAAAATATGCTTTTAAAAGCAAATAGCTGAGCTCAGTTTTTCTAGCTGGCAAGTACCATCAGCACTTCTATCTTTCCCTTCTTTCGCATGGTCACTGTCAGGTCATAGTCCCATACCTCCCAAGGATACTCCTTCTAACTTTCCCTGATCAGTATCATCTCTCCTTAGGCTGATTTACAAGATAAATACCCTCTCAGCTATAAATAGTAAATGAGGCTATCACTCAAGAAGGGATTTCACCAAATTTAGGAGAGAAAAGCAACCATGGGGAAGATGCTGAGATAGGATGTCTGAGCACTGGTACACAGGACCACTTCCCCAGTGATGCATTACCACTCTATCTAAAAATGCAGTTTTCTGATGACAAATTCTGTAACATTTAGGCCTTACTCACATGTTTTCCAGTAGAAATTCCACTTCTAATTCTTCCTGGTTCTGAAAATAAGATTCATCTTTAATTTAAAGAAAATGAATGAAAAAATATTTTCCTTTGATAGGGATCTGGCTCATAACACCTGCCTAATTGTGCTTTCCTGATGTTCCCACCCTTATTATGTTGTTTTAAAGACACTCACACAAATTATGTTTCTATTAAGTCCCAGTCACATTTTTGTGGTTGAAAAACCCAGAGCATAAAAATGCAAAGACATTTAGTTAGTCACAGTGAGCAAGACGTAGAGTGAGCAAAGCAATTCTGCTGTTCTGACATTACCTATCTGACCTCCTCAGCCCTTCTAGGATACCTTGATAGATGAAAGAAATCATTATGGGCAGAGGTGGCAGTACAGCCTATTATTAAGGTTGCCCAGCCTGTTCCATTACTAAGTCACTTTAAAAAAAAAAAAAAAATCCTAAGTCTTCCAAAACTCCAAGTACAGACCATAATCTGTGATGCCTCATAGGCACCTGATTCATCATGATTCAAAGAAGAACAACTTGAGCAAGACGTTCCTGAGACACAGCTCACTTTGTCTGACCTCCCCTACCTCCACCTTGCTAAACCAGTGGGTTAAGACAACGCAGCACATGCCTCAACACATGCCTCGAATCACACCTCAAATGCTATCAGTCACATGAGGCTTTTTCTAAGGAAGGCTGTAGCCAGTTGGAACAGATTTATTAAGCAATCCTTAGTAAGGACTTGCCTTCTAAAAGAGTAGTTAATAAACACTCTTCAAAACAATAATAATACAAAAAACAGGCAAGAGGATTTTCCAAAGAGCTTGACACAGTGGTTTAGAAATAAGTGGAGCACACCAGTTCCTACGAACTGTAAACTGAAGCCCTTATCAGAAGCATGAAAAACCCCTGAAGTTCCATTGCTACACACCCTCCAAATAGAGATGTTACATTTTGCAGAAAGCAATCTGAGTATGTATTCTGTTCTCTTAAAAGATGAGTTTGACTTCTCTATCTGTCCTCTCAGCAACTTCACCCACACAACATTTAATAATATACTCTTTATCTCCACTTTAATACAACCAAACACAATATTCTTTGAGATACAAGCAGCAAGTAAAACTCTTAGGTCAAACACTGACCTAGAAGAACAAAATAAAATACTGATGAGACTCTCATTCATCAAGGCCGGTCCATTCTGTGCTGGCTCAGCCACTCTAAAAGAAATTTTAGCCCTATAACAAAAGAGCATTAACACTTTTTTTTCTTAAGTCGTCTATCAGAAGGAGAAAAAACCATGAAATATTAGTTGATATTCATGAGAATGAAATGATTCATTACCAAGCACATTAACTGAAAGAGCAGGACAAAATTCCTAATGAAGCTGAGAGAAAATACCCTCTAGCTGCCTGGAAAGGGGTCAGGTTTGTTCCCACCCCTGTCAGTCTCCTACAAGAGCGATGAGGTCCCTAACCAACAGCTTCTTCATTTTTTCCTCTCTGTGTTTTTTCAAAACATGTTTTTGAAATCTAAAAAAAAAGAGAAAATTCAGAATATAAATAGCATTTTGCATCTAATCACAATCACAACAGAGGGTTGTTTCTGACCCCACTCCTAAAACCCAAGCATTTAACTTTGTATTTAAATCCTTTTAACAAAGTCTTTGTGTGTGAGAACAACTTCAACGGGACAAAATTCTGAGCAAGACTATTATTTTATCTGTCCACTCACCTCTGTATTCAACTCAAAATTCAAGTGCATTTTTTCTCCAGGTTGGATTTTAGCTACATCAAAGCGAACAGTCATAAGCTGATCATCTGGTGTAAAAGTATCCTCATCACAGACTGTCATCTCCAGGATGTTCTGAGGAGAGAGGCAGAGGAGGAGGTAAAATATATATCCTGGGACTACTGACCCTGAAAGGAAGCTCTAGTAAGAGCCAGCATGCAGCCCTCATGTTGTTCAACGTGGACAGGCTCCCGAGACAGTGTGGAGCTCAGCTCACAGCACCTGCCCGTGGCTCAGACTGCAAAGTCGGGGACTAACCTTAGAAGAGGTAAGTCATCAAATCAGGCAATGAACAAGAGGTCAAAAGACTTAGGTAGCATTAAGTGACATGCATGATGGTAACATGCACTGGACAGAACATTACACGTGGTGTTCATCAGATCCTTTGTGGATTCACAATTACCACCTTGAGAAATTTTGACATTTCAGCAGAAAGTAATAAAAAAGGGAAAAATCTCAGCCCTTTGCAAATAGGAGTTAAAACACATGAACAAATTCTTTGGATTTCAGTTGTAGAGATTTCCCTTGCAGTCCCTCAGGGCTCAGACTACCCATAGCAGCATGAGAAGGTGCAGCACAACTATACCAGAAGACGCTGACGCTCAGTCTAGGCCTTGTATCACTTGCACTCTGACTGCTCATCTATTTCTGCTAACTATACAAACATTTTAACAGTTTTTTACAACTGTTCTGGGACAGAAAGAAGCCTTCAACTTCATTCCAAGTGTTCCATAACCTTCTGAGCTTACACTCATTTTTGTTTTTACCATCCTATTCCTCAGTGTAACTGAGTTCAAGCCGTGTGAGCCTCAAGGCTCTCAGAAAGAGCCTGTACACACCAGGTGAAGATGCCCCCTTTAGAAAGCACCTGCTCCTTTTCACAGCCACAGATCCCACCTTCACTTCACTTTGTATCACGAAGTGGAAAGTTTCATTCCAGACAGGATTTCTGCAGTTGCGTACAGTTCTCGTCCTGGCCTCCTGACGTGAAGCTGTTGGCAGCCACAGCTTGACATAGCAATCAGTTTGGCTCCCTGTGTTAACAAAAAGTTGCTGGATTAGTACAGCAGTACTTCATTATTATTTCTTTTGCCCAACCAGCGATAGAAAGGATTAACCTCTGAGAAGTCCTAAATATTTCTATCCAAAGGAAGATAGAGGGGTTAGAGCTATTTAACTTTTCTATTTGCATTTATGTCAGTTCCAAATGAAAGCCAATTTAAAGCACTAATTCTATTTGATAACAAAAGCCAAAATATTTCATTTCAAAAGTATCGAACTAAGTCTTACTGCTCTTGTGATTTTTTTTTACTCCTATTTTCAAATATTGGCCAGGGTCCAAAAAGAAAATTATACACAATTTCACTTCCTGAAATGTCTCTTTTAAAACAAAATTAAGAATTTAGTTTTGGGGATTTTTTGGACTTGGTTCTAATTGTAATGCACAAGTCATCCACAATGATATAGCAGTGAAGACATAAATACAGCAGCACCCAACATAACTACTGATTATTCCTGGGTCTTTCACAAAGATGCCCCTTTCTGAAGGGAAATGGGCAACCTGTGAATAAAGGGGCACTGAAGAGTTAGGAGAAAGGGAAATATCACAGAGCAGCCAGTTAAGGGAAGGATAACTTCTTTCCCAACACTGAACTTCTATTCTATTTCATTTCTGTTGTTAACTGTTTTCTAGATTATTTAGAGTTTAAATGAAAATTAAAACAGATACAACTTCTTCAGGGAAAAAAAAAAAAAAAGAGATACTGTTGTAATCCAAGCAACAGGTGCACTAGAGCATTAAAATCAGATGGCAGTAATTTTCTTGGTAACCTATAAGCAGACCACAAGTGATACTTACACGAATCTGCTTTGCGGACATTTCTCATGCTTATAATTGTTACAGTAAGCCAGCACAACTGAGGTACTTCCAGCTGCAGAACAATGAAAAAGATGCCTTAATCATTAGCAATATTAGCAAATAACTCAGATATAAATAACATAGCCTATTTCATAGCATCACAAAGGCCATTCTCTCATTAATGCAGTGAATATGCTTTTACTTTAACTATTTGAGACATTTTCTGAGAAGAAACACTTCCTTTTGATTTGACATCATATCATGTCAGATTCCAGTTAATGTTTAAGATTCAGTTGTCTAAAGATTTAGGTTTTGGAGGTTAAGTTTTCATGCAAAGAGTAAGAAGAAATATCACAAGATAGTTTTCACCAAAAAAGTCATTCAATAACAATAAAATAATGGCCAGTCTTCACGAGTGAAGATCCGGGGAAGGTCTTTACACCTTCCAGCCTGCGCATTGGATTTTTTAGGTGAGACACAGTGTGTGCAGAACTGAGCCCACCCTTTAATCCTAAGGTTCATCTGCCAGGGATGGATTGCCTTTACAGGGTTAACGAGCTCCACCTGCCCGGGAGTGGCCCTGACCGGGAATCGAACCCGGGCCTCGGCGGTGACAGCGCGGTGCCCTTAATCACTAAACCACCAGGGGCTCCAATTCAATAATTGCCCATGTAAAGCCCAGCTACTTTTAAACTACAAGGTTTGCTGCTTAAATTTCAGGCTGAGTGCAACAGATTACAGCAATGCACTGCCCCGTGTGCCAGCCTGGGGACCATGGGATGCCCTCCTTGCTCCAGCAGAGACTGCTGTCCATCTGCCACATAACATTTCTGCAGGAAAGGACAAGACACCCTCCGTATTAGAATGCCCTGGTCAAGATATCACTGCTATGGGCCAGCTCTGGCTGCGGGATATGTAACACTATAACATTCTTCACTGTACCAAAATACCTGACCGTTAAAAAGAAATAAAGGACTAAAAGAGGGCAAGAATATTTCTAAAAGTGAACAGTCCAGTATAGAATTCCAAAACTCTTCAGTTCTAGCAGCACAGCGCAGGTTGAAATCAGAGGCTTCTTCCAGTTCACACATTGGACAGCTCCCTATAAGGCAGCTCTAGCATTTCAGTGCCAATTTGAAATTTTGTAAGACTGAAGAAGCTGTATTGTTTTCTCTTTTTTGGTACTGTGTGACACTGAGTAAACACAACCTGTCATTTGTAGTTAGGGTCTTCATTATTCAAAATGAAACCACTTTAACACAGCGTGCAGAACTGATATATGTACATATACCAGGGTTTGTTAGAAATCTGGAACTGAAGAAAGCAGGAATCACTAAAGCTTCAGCAGAATTTTTGGCAACGGTGTTTCTGGAGACAGAGAATGAAAGGAGTATACAATCTGAATTGCTGAAAGGTCAACTTTACATCCCGAATACAGAGGATTAATTTTTAATTTTCAGCTTTGGTACCACCCATATCCAGGAGTTTGGAGAAAACTCATTCATGAGACGGCTCAAGTACTAAGCAAATATGCAGACATAAACCTAATTATTCTGTAGTGCTAGCAGTTAGTGAATTCGCTGTTCTCCCAGATCTATCAAAGAGTTAGCCTCATGCTTTTGCATTGAATGCACCTGGGGAGCAGATTCAGGAAACTCAGGGGAGAAAAAATATGTCATACAATTTTTATTTTTTGTTTAAGTTATTAAATATCTTTTCATCCAGACGTTACTCAGAAACCTGAATAATTTCTAATTTATCCAGTATGTACCACATTCAGTACCTTCCAACACCTTTTACCAGTTCATCTTCATAAAAATTAGTGTTTAGCAAAGTGGAAGACACTGGAATAATCCATTTTATCTACTGATCTGCCTCCATAAAGTAAAGGAAAAACAATTTAAAGACTAAGCCTTGGGCGTTACGAGATAGGACTACCATCATCTAATGATGCCACAATAAACCAAGACTAAAATCCAGCTCTCCCAGTTCCTTGCCCAGCATTTAAACCACAAGTTCATTGCCTTCCCAACCCGTAAGTCATAGAGAATGTTCTGCACTCTAGAGAGCACACTCACAGAAGAAACAAATATTCCCTTAACCGTTAAAAAATATCACCTCTCACAATAACAGTTAAACTTAGGGAGAGACAGGAAAGGCTGATGGAAGATTGCAGGTAGCACAGCCATCCTTTATACCCTGCAGCTTTGCCCATGCAACTATACAGTACCTCATCTTCAGTGCTGTATGGCTTTTCATGATTCCTCCTCCTGATTCCAATCTTCCTGTGTGGGTTTGCTCGGATGAATCGATCCTGGGGACAAAGAGCCAAGAGGAGGGCCGGTAATAAAACCCAGCAGACATTTTCAGTTTCTACTCAGATACACCATGGCAGCATCAGGGGGCCCTACCATTTCTACTCTTCATGATGGGATACGTCTCCATCTCACCAAGACCATCTATCTGCTGCTTTCACTAATAAATTTGCCCACTGTAGATGCATCTTACGTTAAAGGATCAAAATTCCCCAAGCATTTGCTTTTCAACTCAACCAAAACATCTCAGACAGATCCTCCTGCCCCACCGCTGATTTTCTCTTACCAAAGGGGAATAGGCTGATGATCCCATTTTCTTTGCTTCATAAAAGGCAACACTAATGCTCCAGTCCGTATGTCTCCCAACTGGGAGATGCTCCTGGACCACAGTATTTTCCAGCCAACTGTGGCCGGGAAGAAGAGCTGTACAGATTGAGTCACGGCTCCGCCTCCCACTGATTTCAAAAGCAAAAATGCCTTTTTTTTTTTTTTTTTTTTAACAACACAGTAATTTGGGGAAAAGGAGATTGGTCAAACCTTTTATCATAGGCTAATCCCAAAATAAAGTAGTTATCCACTACTGTAAGGTCTGAATAATGACACACAGAGGGATAACCTGGGGCAGTTGCACAGCCCTCACAAACTAGAAAGGACCTAACAGAACATTACAAATACTGATATCTACTGTTACTTTCTATGGTCCTAAAATCTATATGCACTTTGACAGCATGGAGCAATCTGGACATTCAAACAGCAGCATTCCAGCTCCCACCAGCTTTTCCAGTCAGATGCACAACTGCAAGAGTTTTCACCAAGTTCACTACAAATTTCAGCCACAACATGGAGGCTGGCTCTCAGTCAGCGGCAAATAGCTAAAGAAAACAGCTTGTTGCTTTTCTTATCCTACTTCTGTTATATATGGGTTGTTAAAGGCTCAGCAGAGCCAGAAGGATCTTTTGTTATTGAAATGTTTTTAGTAATAGTGCTGTCTTCAATCAAATTATGTTCAAAACTCATATAAGCTTTAACACAAACAACAGCATACAATTTTTTTCCGAAATATTTAAACATCCTTGTTAAAATTGTCAAGTCTGATTTCTTTTTAATTATAGAATAATTTCCCACCATTTTTCTGAAAGAGCACTCAGTACATAAAAGCAAAAGTATCTAGTACTATTACTGAAATACAAAAATAGGAAGCCAGCTATTGCATTAAATATTATTAAAATCACTATAAGCAGTGGTTATTCAGTAGTGAGAAATTGCAGTTGAAATAAGGTTTTTTTAGAACTCATTTCTTATTTCCAAGTTTCTAAGTCAGACTGAAAAACCTTTTTAGAAGCAGCAAGACTAATTATAAACAAAAATAAAAATTTGATTTTTCAACCATTTCTAATGAAAGTGGAACAGTTGTGGAACAGTCTTATTACAATGCAGACCTATTTCCCTTTGATTATATTGATAATGTTTTTGAAGTAACACTCTCTAATTTGAAACAAGCAATTCAGCTCACAAGGTTACAAGAGACTGTGCATAATAACCATCACATCACTTAACTCAGGCTCTGAGGTCTTTTTGTGTTTGATGACAGTGGATTTTCTTCAGCTCTTGAGAACAAAAGTTAGCCATCCAGTTAGATAATATGGCATGCTTTCTGCTCAAATTGCACCCTTTCCACAATATCCACATTTGGAACCTTCATGGATTCCATAAATTAAATTAAGCAATATTAACTGCTGATGCCACTATGTCACTACACTACACATGCTTCTTCTGCAGATAATGAGAAAAAAGAAATCCAGCTAAACAGCTCTCCCATCCAAAAGCAGACGTAACCCAGCCATAGTAGGAAATTACACGATAATGAGATCTTGTGCATCACAAACCATGGTGCAGGTGAGTCAGTCAGGAAGCCACAGGCCAGCAGACAATATAGTATCTCACCAATACCATAATAACAACAGAAGCCCTCAGCAGCGCTAGTTATATGGTGATATGAGGTCTGGAGACACACAGACACTTGAACTGGGCCACATAACTTGCAGCAGGGAGCCTGGCGTGGCAGAGGAGCGGAGTGCTTGCAGCAGAACCAGCACTGGGCTCTGCAGCCTCTTGAGAGGCAGCTGTAAGAGATGGAGGTAACCATTTACCTCCAAGACCTCAGATCAGTTTTGACACGGGCTCAGAATCACTTTCCTCTCACAGTAATTTGAGACAGCTAGTCCATGATTTCTCCAAATTCTCACAGGGTTTCTACAGCTGTTTGACAGCTAACATTTAACATCAAAACAAGGCAAAGGGGGAAAAGCCTTTAGAGGCTGGCTCACAAGCCTCACAAAACTTCTGAGAGAAAGGTGCTGTGACAGAGACAGAGACCTTGATCTGAGCACCAGTGCACAAATGCAGCCACAGGTCCAACTTAATTTTTAAAAATACTAGTGATTTTGTTCTTCGTAACCTCATAAACAAAAGCTATGGGGCACAATCTCTAAATATCAGGCTTCATTTACATGACCCAAATAAGCCATCCCAAAACTGAATAACTCATAATCCTTTTTGACTTAGATTCTGACAAAATCTGAAGTGACAGTGACTGAAATACATAAGAAATTCAGTCTTCATGCAATTTTTAGTGTAAGGCATTTGGGTAAAATGAAGAACAAAAGACATTAAGCTGCATTTCCCGCTTTGATAATACAGAAAATTCCACCTGAAACATCTTTCTTGTGGGACAATAACAAATGAACTCTTTGACTTAATATTGTCTGCTGCACATAAGCTGCACCATTGTACTCAAACCCTGTTAAAGTTTTGTTCTAATATACAGCACAGTATGGCCAGAAAAAAATATTCAGAGTCACATAGCAAATTTAAGCCTTATTTACAAAGCAAATAGTAAAAAAAATTTTCTCATGTTATTTCATAAGTATGTCAACACAATCTGAGGTGAGTTGACACAAGTGACAATGACAACAAATGCACAAGCTGTTTTGTGTTACTGCTGAGGAAAGAACTCCCAAGGACTGAATGACTCAAGAGCATTTTCCTCTCAAACAGGACTACTGGGGCGACCCCAATCAGTGGTGAGGGAATGTCCAGTCACAGCACCCAGAACCCACCTTCAGCTCAGACCAGCAGATATCACCTCTTTGTCACTGACTCATAGGAGACAGGGTGGTCCCACATTAGAGGCTCCAAAGTTAGATCTACACCAGCAGTCAAGCACATGACTGTGGGCACGGGTTAACAGCCTCCAGGCAATGAAATTTCTCATACTCCTAAAGCAAAAGAAGAAAAGACCTCAAAACATCTTTAGTCCTTGTTCTTTATCAGCACTCACTGTTACTACTTCTTTTAATTACAGCTGTAGGCTTCTCCTACAAAGATATGGGATGACAGAGGTAAGTATTGAGTATGAGTTTGTAATTGCATCTGGGTCATCATCCCTAGTTAATGAAAAGAAACAGGCTAAAATGTTCTCTGGTAGCACATAAGGGATGAAAACTGGTCTTTGGAAGTGCCCAGCTCTTTCCAGTGACTATGATTATCATCACAGTTAACAGGCCCATTAACAATGCCCATGGTATCCTAACTATTTATGCACTTTATCTGGACTCCTCTTTATGCATGGCTGGCAGTGTGCCCAGGCAGCCAAGAAGGCCAATGGCATCCTGGCTTTCATCAGACATAGTGTGTCCAGCAGGATCAGGGAAGTGATCATCCCATTATGCTCAGCACTGGTGAGATTTTGCCTTGAGTTTTGGGCACCTCACTACAAGAAAGACATTGAGGTGCCGGAGTATGTCCAGAGAAAGGCAATGAACCTTGTGAAGAGTCTGGAGCACAAGTCTCATGAGGAGCAGCTGAGGGAGATGGGGTTGTTTGGCCTGGAGAAAAGCAGACTCAGGGAGGGACATTATCACTCTCTACAACTACCTGAAAGGAAGTTCTAGCAAGGTGGGAGGTCAATCTTTTGTCCCAAGTAACAAAAAGCAAGATAATATGATATAGCCTCAAGTTGCTTCAGGGCAGGTTTAGATTGGATATTAGGAACAAATTTCCACTGAAAGAGTTGTCAAGCACTGGAACAGGCTTCCAGGGAAGTGGTTGAGTCACCATCCCTGGAGGTATTTGAAAGACATGTAGACATGGTGCTTAGAGAGATGGTTTAGTAGTGAAGTTGGAAGGATTGTGCTAAGGGTTGGACTACATGATCTTAAAGGTCTTTTCCAGCATAAATGATTCTATGATTCTATGGGGTCTTTAGCTAGCTGACCTTGCAAGCAAGATTCTGGATCTAGTGACAGTACTCAGGCAGGCCTGATACTTGAACTCCAGCATGACTGGTCATTGTCTCCAGCAGAGAATTAGGGCTTGGAACATTCAGACTGTCAGAGATAAATCCCAATGAAAATTAAGCATAAGGCAAAGCCTTGTTTGTAATCTATGGATACACTCTTATCTGACTTACAAATAAATGAAGTAAAGGGATAGCTCAACATCACTATAATTAAGTGGGGTTGCACCATGGGTGAGTTGACTCCAACCAGCAGCCTAAGGATGGATGCAATGGCTCACTCACTCTCCTCCCAGAAGTAGTATAGGTGAAAGAATACAAAGAGCAAAATCATGAAAATTCTTGGGTTGAAATAAAACAATTTAAGAAGTGAAGCAAAGTGGAAGAGAAACAACTGATGAAAAGGCAATCGCTCACCATCTCTGGAGAAGGGCTCTTCATCCTGGAATGCAGTCAAGCAACCCAATAGGACAGTGCCCTATTTGAAAAATCTATCAGTGGTGGACCAAAAGGGGGCCCAGGTGCTGCTTTCAGTATTGAATTATGGGAAAACCAATCTGATTCATCAACCCCAAATCAACATGCTGGTAGTGATGCAAAGATTTGGCAGATAAGCTGCTAAGCTGACCTGGAAACTGATGGCCAATCACTTTATACTATAAAAGTTCAGTCCACTCCCATACAATCAGATTCTTCTAAAATGCTCTTCTATGAATGTGTGGAACTTCTACCTTGAAATGAGGATGGCCCTTCAAGGATACTCCTCGAGGTAAACAGAAAGAGATCTGCCCATAAGCATTGGTATGGTGACATCAAATCTCTACTTAAAAATTGTTTCTTTTTTGCTAGCTTTAATGTAATTGCTTCAATATAATTATTTTGATATAGTGTGCTAAACTATACACTAGTAGTAGTTTTTACCTTTTATATTGTGTAGTAAATAATTCTGATTACAATCTTTTGTCGGATCATCTGTCATAATAAATAATTCATTTTATATAAATATTCCCAGTTTG